TCTTCAGAAAGATCTTAAAAAATATTTAATAAATCAACTTATGCTTGAAATCAGAGTTCAATACTTCATTTCTTCCAATAAATTCATAGCACAACGCTTAATGACCACATTGGGATATAAAACGACCACAGCCAATTTAGCTTCCATTTTAGCTACTTTATGTCCTGAAAATCTAAACAAACCCCTTTCTTGAAACTTTCGTATTTTTATTTATTTTTCCTTAAACTTTTATATCTCAAGAGTGTTCAGTTAAATTTGAGCTCTGTATATTAAAATTGGAAGTTTTGAATTTTTCTGTGAAAACGTTAGCTTTCCAATTTTTTCACGTTTGAGATTAATTTACATATTCAACTTCAAATTTATTGAAATGATATGTGAAATCAGTTACAACAATTTTTAAAAATTATTTATAATTTCTTTTCAAGAGTAACCTTTTTCAAAGAATATTGAACGAGTAGCTTTCTTTGCAAGAAAGATTTTTAATGACTGGGGTCTTAAATGTTCCAGTGAGCTATGTTGCTCTGATAAAGTGTGATCGTTACATGTTCTAAACCTCTCATGAAACTCTCTCTCTCAAAAAATTCTAAAAACACAGAAGATAGAAAATATCTCTTCAACTTGTTTGAAAAACACGCTCTTATAATTGTTAAGCAGAAAACGTAACAAGCAGAAGAAGAAAATTAAAAAAAAAGTAAAATTAATCACTGACACGGTTGCACCGAACAATTTACTACATCGTGTCAGTTTTTGCTCGGTAAGCGTCAATTACACTCTTGGCTGGAGATTTCAATTAATTTCACGTATCTTTCGACAAGATGAAAAAAAAAAACAATGCCAAAAAAGAAAAAGTTGTAGCATGGAGTGAAAGTGACTGACTAATTATATGTTCGAGGCGACACGACGTTGTTTAAATTGCTCGAGTTTCCGTTTACGTTTACCTACTCGTTTTTCTGACGCAATTAAAATATTCCGGTAACTGAAAGCAACGCGAACAATTTATTTATCTATAAGGCAACTGAAAACATTCTTGACCTGTTAAATTGTCATTTATGACCATAACTGCTGACATGTGCTATGTTTATTTTCCAACAATTTATCAGGTTTTCTGAAGACGTTATTAGTATTATTTTTTGTAAACTAATTGTATAATTTATTGATGTGGTGTTAGTTTTATTTATTGTAATATCAAGATATTATGTGTAAAGGGGTATATTATAGTATGTACAGTAATAATTATATAATTGTGGTATGATAAATTTTTGGAAAAGGAAAGTAGTAGAAGATATTTATTATAATTGATATATAATAGTTATGTAGTTTAATATATGATAATAATATTGCTTGTGAAAATGTCGAATGATGGATTATTTAAAGTATATTTATTGTTGAAGCTTTGCAAATTTGGAAATTTGTGGATTTGAAAATTTTGGTGAAAGAAAATTAAGAAAGTCAGGAATTTGGGAATTTGCAGATTTAAAAGATCAGAATTTGACAGACTTAGACATTTAATGTTTTATAACTTTAGTAATTTAAGAATTTCCGATTTTTGATTTTTAGAATTTTAGAATTTCTGACTTTTGATTCTTAGAATTTTAGAATTTTAGAGCTTTCAATTTTTTGAGTCATGAAGTCTTAGGGTTTGAGAGTTTTACAGTTTTAGAGCTTTAGAGTTTTAGAGTTTTACAGTTTTAAAGCTTTGATATTTTAGATTCTTAGAATTTTGGATTTGCTAATTTGTCAATTTGAGAATTTAGGAATTAGAAATAGGCATTTTTAGACATCTCAGTTTAATAACTGCGATATTACGTCACCAAATGTATTAAATGTTACAACGGAAATAAAAAAAAATATTTTAATATATTTTTAGCATTTAACAATGCATTGTACATTATTACTGTATTTTATGAATTTTAGTATGATATATTAAATGTAATAATTTCTATCACAATCATACTAAAAATACTTTTAATACTGTTTTCGTAACTAATAATATACTACCTGTACATTGCAATGAATTCATATAATTTCAAACTTAAAATAACAAAAGCCGTAACAACAAAATAATTTATTCAGAATATTCCGAGATATTTAATCATGGGCCATGACTGCTATACGATGGAATTTTGTGTAAGCATTTTTAAACTTTGTTTCCTTTAATTTGTCACGTATTACTGGAATTCATTAATGATATTTTATTCTTCTCTATGTTCCAACTATTTAATCTTATCGCAACTATGCAAAATATTTGGTTATCATTCTTTTAATGATAAATTACAGAAATTATACACAAAATGAAACTGACATTTTTTAAAAATGGAACTATACCTGTATATATTTTTACCAAAGCAAAAATAAAAATCCAAAGTTCAAAATCACGACTCATAGTATATTAAACCTGTCAGTTTGATGTACTTCTTTAAATTTCTATTATAATATAAGTAACTTACAATCTTACTATGCTGATGTTTATAGTATAGGACATTATATGTATCTTTTTAATAATTGTTTAGTAAAGCGGTAAAAGTTTCGTGAATTCATATTCGGTGAAATTATACATATACAGATGTCAACTCACGGGTTGGCGCGTAACCGAGCCAAAGTAAAGGGAGCACCATTCCCAGTGTGAACACTTTCAACGTGACATATCAGCAATATAAGAATAATAATAACATTAACAACTACATCACGCAATTCACATTATTTTTTTCACTCTCGAAACGTTTGCCGATTGCCGTTGTTTTTAGTTTAATTACTGTACATTAGCACTCGAGCTAATTGTTCCTGTAGCTGAAAATGCGTGCGAGGCATTCATTTGTCTATTCCGACCAGTTGGAGCCGTAGCGATTTGGGGACGTAGCGATTTAGGGACGTAGCGATTTCGGAATGCAGCGATTTGGGGACGTAGCGACTTAGGGACGTAGCGATTTGGGGACGTAGCAATTTCGGAATGCAGCAATTTCCACGATATAGCGATTTGGGGACGTAGCGATTTGGGGAGGTAACGATTTGGGGACGTAGCGATTTTGGGGACGTAGCAATTTAGGGACGTAGCGATTTGGGGACGTAGCAATTTCGGAATGCAGCAATTTCCACGATATAGCGATTTGGGGACGTAGCGATTTGGGGACGTAGCGATTTAGGAACGTAGTGATTTAGGGGCGTAGCAATTTAGGGATATAGCGATTTGAGGCTGTAGCGATTTGGGTGTGTAAGAATTTGGGAATGAAGGGATTTGGGAATGTGAAGATTTGGAAATGCACATATTCAGGATTATAGGAATTCGAAAGTGTATAGATTCGAGAATGTAGGGTTCGAAAGTGTAGAGATTCTATTTTAATCAATAAGTGCTATGGTCCCTCTAAACACCTGTGTCAGCCTCTTCATGTGCCAACTCATGGATTGGCAGTGGTACACGGTGAATGCACTTTCGCCATAATGTAGCACTGGGGTTCTTGAACTTATGTACTCCGAGAATCCCCTCCTAAATATTTTGTTTGTAAGCAAATATTTAGAATAAGGGGGCCACCTCCGATTTCGATTACCATGAAATATGTTGTCATAAAGTCTAAACGAATAAAGGACATAAATGATATTAATCAATTAATCTACATTAATTTTTATAAAAATGTTTCTTACTGAATAATAAATTTTGTGCAATGTTTAGGTGGAATGCTACAAATCAAAGCTTTTACAATTATAATTCTTAGTTTATGAATGCCCCGTATGTAATTAACTTTGAAATACTGCCACAATCGTGTAGATTTATTTTATTTTCGTTATTTGAAACTTTATGATGCTTTATTATTTTTACTCTTCTTATTATGCACAGAATTTCAACATTTTTATATCTTTGATATGGAAGAGTTAACAAATTTGAATGGAAGGATAATTTAACTCAATGATACATTATTTTTTTGGACAGAAATAACAATATAAGATATAGTATTATTATGGGATAGGGATAATAATACCAATATAAATATATTATTATTTGAGACAGAATTAATAATAACATGAAGTATATTAAGGGATGATAGAAACTCATGGTTCTAATAAAATACTGCTTTATTTATCAAACAATAATTTGAGTACTCATTACCATCATACATATTTATTTAAAGCTGTTTAAGCAATTCACTAACTAAATCTCAATAATTATGCATTTCATTTTATTATTCCCGTGACAACTATTCGTTGTAAATCGCACTTTTCCACAATCACCTGTTTAATCCATGTACCAATTTAGACAACCAATCTTTAACACAAATTTCACTAATCCATTATTTGATAGCATCGAATTTATCGATGTAAGTAATAAAAATGTTTCACACTGTACAAAAGATAAATATTCCTGCAATATACTAATTCTTCGGTGGCCAGTGTTCTGTGCCTTTGGTATCCACTTATCAATTGAGGCATTTATCTTCAAAGTGAGATAAGTCCATTTTTTGCCATTATTTCTTTTAAGTAATTAAGGATTTGCATTTCGATGCATTTAAAAATATTGAAAAACATTAGTAGACAAATTTTTATATTTTGTAATATTGGATAATGTAAGGTGAAGTGGGGTAAATGCAGACTGGTTTTTGTAAAGTTAGTATTTAAACGTAAGTATTTTCAGTCTGCTATGTAAATACTTAACGCTGTCGATATTGAACGCTTTGCATAATTACTACTATTTAATTAATATTAACTAGGACCTTAATTTTCCTTGTACATTTTGATTTTGATAGGAAATTGTTTAAAATGTCAACTACTCTGCACTTTCCCCGAAAATGGGGTAAGAGCGTAACTTGAAGTTAAATACTTTGAAACTTTATTTCATGTGCAATGGGGCAAGAGCAGAATTATTAACAAATCTGCTATAAAATGCTTTTTACTGCATTATGCAAGTACTCTATACTGCAAACAAGTACTCTTAGCTAAAATATAAAAGGGGATATAGTGAAACAAAACAAGGAAACAAACATACTAAATGGAGAAATTTCGCTCATATTGTAATAAAAATAGCCTGTATACGCACTTGCCCCGTTTACGAACTTGCTCCACTTCACCTTACGTTTATTATTTTCTGTCTGAATTGTCCTCGTATTCAGATTCTGATTCTAAGATTCTTTTTTTCCCAATTCTAGCTCTTATTGTTATAAACATAATAAGAATAATAAAATTCCTTAAAAATGTGGATTTTTAGTAGCGTTATTAGCCAGAAAAGTTTTTTATTTTCTTATTACCTGCCAGTTTCATTTTCAGGTATATCAACTTAATGAAATAAAGCACAATTCGTAATTGATTTTGTTTTTCAAATAACATTGAAATTTTTAAGGAGTTCTATGCGCCGATAGTGAAACACGAAACGTATCGATTTTGTTGAGTATTATGTTAATTAGGAATTGAACTAGAACTTGCAAGCTAATAGTAGAAATCTACAGTAATACCTAGACTGTCCTACAAATCCTCACTCATTTTGAGGTTATGCCATCAATATTATTCAATTTATAATTTTTTACAGTATTATCCATACTACCAAAACTTTACAAAATTCAACAAACACTGTATTTTAAATTTTAGATGCAGTAATTCAGCTAAAAATAATATTAACTTAAAGTAGACTTGCATCACCTTCAGAATAAACATCTTTCCAATACCCTTAATTACCCAAACTTCCATCGCCCAAATATTAAATTTGAATTGCATTCACTATAGATTGCTTACAAATAAAAATATCACATTACATTTTATCTACTACTATAATCTTCATTTTCTTCAAAAATAGACTTGTCCACTTTCAAAATAAATAGCTCAATTTTCAAACTGATAATTCTGTGGCGTACTTAATTCCATCGATAGACTTTTCTCCTCGATACAAGAAAGAATATAACGTTACAAGAGTATCCCATGAAATATGAGACCATTAAAGTGTTAAACCGCAAGTGATGAGTGTTCCGACAAGAAGTAGCAGCAATGGAGTTACTACCATTCTCACATCTGTTTTCTAGAAGTAAAACTTCACAGTTAATAAGTGCACCGTAAAATTATTCGAAAATGTATTTGTTTCGTTACATCATGACCATTACAAAAATTACACTGTTACAATTAAAAGTTTAACTCTATAATTTAATAAAATCATTTTATGATAAAAATATATTCAATTACTGAATTAAAAGTATTCAAAATTAATTCAATGTTCTTTGGTCAGATTTTCCTGCCACCATTTTGATAATATTGCACTCAATCTTTATATGCGTACAAAATGTTGAACTTCGTTATTTCTTCATTTACTATGAAATGGGCTAATGATCATGGCAGTTGAGGCTCATATAAAATCAATCAGTCAATCAAATTTACTATGAAATTTGCCTTTTCTGTTTTATATCATTTATATCGCAACATTGTTTACTATTTCTTGTTGGAACATCAATTGCATATATCGCAAATTATAAACCTCACTGTCCGAACCATAACGTAACGTTTGAGTTGAATATTTGAATATCATGGAGATGTCTCTTCTCAGCTTTTTTTTATTCTTTTCACCTAAGCAAGATGAGAAAGAATTGCACGAAGTTATGAATTTGTCGATTTTTCTGGCACTAATCGATCATCAATTGCCGGAATGATCCATCCAGACCGAATAAATCGTCGTGAGTCTTTGGTTTCCCTGGTCGGAGCATCTCGTTTGTTTTAACAGATTCTTGTTGCGCGAACCATGGTCCATATTCTTCCAACTTCTTTATCCAGGTGTCTAAAAAATCGATAGTTTTTAATAAGTGAAGAATTGCTATATTCTTAAGAATTTTAATAAATTGAAGAATTGCTGTAATAAAGTGATTGAGAAAATGTTGTAATAATGTGTCGATAATTGACAGAGTGTAATAAAGCATCCATGATTAAGAAAATAGTTAACATTAAAAATTGATCTTGTCTTATCTTTATTAGTCAATTCTCTTACACTGCGAAAGAATTTCTGATGTTGATAAATTGTACAGATAATAAAGTTAGACATTTCGTGACTGAATGAAATTCAAATCGATTTTATTTCAATCCCTTGTCAAGTTTTGACGAGCCTCGACGCATTCATAGTTCAAATGTGACAAATTTTAATAGAATTTTTAATACGATTCTGAGTACAAAATGATCGTAACATTTTATTGTAACAATTTATTTTAATATTTTCTTTACTCATTTTAATATTGTAGTATGTAGATTAGTGCTGACTGACGTATTTGACAGATGAATCGTATGACAAGCGGTTAAATAATCAATTCAACCAAGCAAATTCAAATCAAGAAAGTAATACACAAATAAAGAACGTGAATTAATGATAAATAAGTGAATGACATAAATTAACGATAAACAAGTGAATTAGCCCTTATTTCCACTTGATCGATAAAATTTAATATAAATCCTCTTTTCCTCTTAATATAAATAAAACAAATGCTAAAAATATCTTAAAGCAGCATCCCCCACTAATTTTAAATAAAATTCTGTAAATAAATTAATAATAAATAAATAATAAATAAATAAATAATAAATTAATAATAAATTAATAATAAATAAATAAAGAAATTTTACAATAACAGAATTAATTTCATGAAGAATATAAGAGAAGAAAATAAATTTGTGACCAACCTTGAATAGCCTGAATGGGGCCAGCGTCACCGCCATACTCAGTCGGTAATATCTCCTTGGGAATGTACTCGTAGAGAGTGTTCATGTCGCTGTGCATGAAAATCCTGTTGCGTATTTTCTCCTTAAGGAATGGTTTCACGAAATTAACGATGCTGTCGACTACAGAACTGACGTTCACCACGTGCACCTCCTTCAGCTTCACCGGATAAGCCTCTTGAACGCAAACTAGAAACTTCTTCACCAAGGCAGGGGTGAATTTCGCGAAGTGAGCCGGCGTCGCGACGCTCGCGTCCAGAATATAAACGTCGCCAGCGACGCCAACTTGTTCTTCTTTTAGACGCACGTCGCCGATCATGAGAACCAGTTTCATTACTTCGGCTACGTTAGGGGTTGGCAGGTCCTTGTCGATACCTCTCATCACGATCACACGTCGGCCATTTTTTGTCAGACCGGGTAATGGCGGTATTTGTCTGCGAAGATGAATATCGCGTGAATATCTTGTGATATTACGGTATTAGGAGAGCGTGATATCACAATATTACGAGAATTTGGTATCATAATGAGAGCGTGATATCACAATTTCGCGAGGAATTCTTTGGAAACTGAGATTTATGGGAAGAAATTGTTTGGACGAGAGATTAATCCTCTTATGATTGGGTAGACTTTGGATTTGATGTAAGGTAAAATTCACTTTGCGAAGATTGGAAATCAGATAGTTTGGAGGTTCGATGGATTGAAAATTTGGAAGTATGAGAATTTGGAGATTTAGATATTTTAGAATTTGAAATTTGGACATTTGAGGGTTGGAAGATTTAGGTATTTGAGAATTTGAAAATTTGGATATTTGAGAATTTGATAATTAGGACATTTGAAGGTTGGAAGACGTAGGTATTTGAAAATTTGGACATTTGAGTATTTAGAGATTTAGATATTTGAGAATTTGATAATTTGGAAGTTTGAGAATTTGGAGATTTAGATATTTGAGAATTTGATAATTAGGACATTTGAGGGTTGGAAGGTTTAGGTATTTGAGAATTTGAAAATTTGGACATTTGAGGGTTTGAAGATTTAGATAACTGAGAATTTGAAAATTTAGACATTTGAGGGTTGGAAGATTTAGGTATTTGAGAATTCGAAAATTTGGACATTTGAGTATTTAGAGATTTAGATATTTGAGAATTTGATAATTTGGAAGTTTGAGAATTTGGAGATTTAGATATTTGAGAATTTGGAGATTTAAACATTAGAGAATTTGAAAATTTGGGAATTGGAGAATTTGAATGCATGGATACTCAGAAATTTAGGTATTCAAGAATTTATATATTTAGAAATTTGGGTGTCCTGGAATTTGAATATTTGGCAATCTGATAATTTGAAAATTTCGAAATTTAAGGTTTGTATAAAATTGGGAATTTGGAAAGTCAGAAAATTGGAAATGTAGGAATGTAGAAATGAAAAAATGTAGTAACACAGAAGTGCAGAAATCCAGAAATCCAGAAATCCAGAAATCCACAAATCCACAAATCCACAAATCCACAAATCCACAAATCCACAATTCCAGAGACTCAGAATTTTTTTCAGTAATTTGATATATTCTTCTTACACAATTTTAGTAATCTCTCTCAATTCCGGTCTGGTGATATCTCGATTGGTAAAGAATTCAGGGATCGCTGCTCTCATAGTAAAATACATGTCCAGCTTCTTCTTGCATTTTTCCAAGGAAAATTTCGAACCTCGAAGGAATGTCATTATTCTAGCGTCATCTGGAACGAGTAAACATGACGTCAGTGTAAACAATAACATCGAACATAACTGCAAACATAAAACCTATTGGAAATTCACCGAACGTTGGTTTAATTTTCATAACTCGACAAACAGCTCGTTTCGTTGCGTATATTACATTTTTTCGTACAGTCTAATTCAATATTGTCGATAACTGTATTTTCCTTTTACACATACTGAATTAAACTTTACTTTCATCTGTATTTTTTACATTTTTTCCTTTTCGTTCAGACGGTTTAGTAACACGATTATTTTTTTAATGGTTAATATCGACGAAAACCGGTTTGGGTCATTAATTTGTTTTCGATGTAGAAGCAGCTAATTTGTATTTTTAATAATATTATTGAAACGTATATTACAATAATACTTCTTTAGTCAAATGATTTGTTAAACAATAATTATTTAAATATTGTGATATTCGAATAATGATGGATATCAATATTTGTCAAATTATTTAAATAATGTAATATTTGATATGTTTAATAATGATGAATATCAACATTTATCAAATTATTTAAATATTGTAATATTTGATAAATATGGACATTCATTATTATTCGAATATCACAATATTCAAATAATTGCTTAACAAATTATTTTACACTAAAGAAGTATTTGTTATCTCATACTTTCAATATTTATTCTTGCTGACGGAAACATAAGTTTATTAACTCATTCATTCTTTGTATCTTATATCTTCCATATTATGTATCTTGTAATTTCCTATCATGCATAAGGTGTTCCAAAAATGGCAATAATTGTAAATTGTATTGTAGACGACGAAAAAATACAAAATTGATATAACTTGTCTCTTTTTTATATATAAAAAAAATAATTATAAGTGTGCATCACGACAAAATGAAAAAATAATAAACTCTTATATTTTTTCTTCAAGGTGTTTCGTAAAATAGTCATAATACAATTAGTGGCAGCTCGTAGTTAAGGTTAGTGGAGTTGCAACTGCAGAAAATTCTTTGCCTTTGTTTCAAAATTAATAGAAAGCAATTATGTGTAAAATTTACTCAAAAACTTGAGAAGTATCAAACACTTTCTTACTATGTTATCGATGATATGTAGAAATAAGATGGCCGCCATACAATTCAAAAGTTGCAAATTCTCCATAGCAAATTGAAAGGTCCATTACCGTTTCAGAAAGGAAATAATTGAATATGGAGATATAGTCTATATCCTTAGCCTCGGGTTAAAAGTAACGGAAAAGGAATATTAATTAAAATGCAATTACCATCAAAAGGAGGCAAATGTGGTTGCTTGGACAGCCATTCTTTGATAATTTCAACGTCTTTGTCGCGCGTAGCTACATTTTCGTTCAGCTCCACGCGGATCTGCTTCGACATCTCCTCTGTCGGTTGAATCAGCAACATCTGAAAATCGATATTAATTAGTCGAATGATAGAGTATAATCAAAGCTAATTGCGTGAAAGGTATTTCTCTTTTAAAGGTATTCCTTTTGCCACTCAGTTATTTCGCTGACTTTTGAACGATGAAATATTAAATTAAAATGAATGTCAAGATATCTATATTAAACTCTATAGAGTTTAATTTTCTCAACATTACTTTTAAATGCAATCTTAAAACTAAAAAATGAAATGTATTCTCAAAATTAAAAAATAAGATGCATTCTTAAAATTAAGAAACAAAATGTATTCTTAAAATTAAAAATGAAATGTTCTCTCAAAATTATAAAATAAAATGTATTCGTGAAGTTTAAAAATGAAACGTTTTCTCAAAATTAAAAAATAAAATGCATTCTTAAAATTAAAAAGTGAAATGTTCTCTCAAAGTTATAAAATAAAATGTATTCTTAAAATTAAAAAACAAAATGTACTCGTGAAGTTTAAAAATGAAATGTTTTGTCAAAATTAATAAATAAGATGCATTCTTAAAATTAAGAAAGAAAATGTATTCTTAAAATTAAAAAATGAAATGTTCTTTCAAAATTATAAAATAAAATGTATTCTTAAAATTAAGAAATAAAATGTATTCGTAAATTTGAAAAATGATATTTCATTTATATTTAAATATACGAAGTAACTTTTGTGATGTACTAGAAATTAATTAGAAATTTAAAACAGAACTTCAATCAGTAAAAATTTTAACAATTCATAATTTCATTGAGAAGATTGTTTCTACAATTGCTTGATTTGCTCAAAACATAGTCATATTATGTTTGCAAAATCATGATTGGAAAGGAAACTAATTTGCGACGAATAACAAATCAGACATAACTAAATGGGACAAGGAATGTTTTTAAGTACGTTAATTATACCTTTTGATGTCATATTGCATGTAAATCAACCACTTGCGTAATTGAAAAATTCATTATTTCCTGCATGCTCAGAAACTTTTCAACATGTCATATTAGAGCTATTAGATACTAGAAAAAAAAACTGAAGCAAATTCTCTAAACCTTCAATGTTTCTACAATTCCTTGCTTCGAAGATATATTGTATTGAAAATTAATGTTTTTGAAAGTACATTAAGTTTGTAAAGTTAAAAAATGAAATGTTTTCTCAAAATCAAAAAACAAAATGCATTCTTAAAAATAAGAAAACAAAATGAATTTTTAAAATTAAGAAACAAAATGTATTCGTAAAGTTTCAAAATGAAATGTTTTCTCAAAATCAAAAAACAAAATGCATTCCTAAATTAATATACTAAATATAATCTTAAAATTAAAAATGAAATGTACTCTCAAAATTTAAAAATAAAATGCATTCTTAAAAATAAGAAAACGAAATGAATTTTTAAAATTAAGGAACAAAATGTATTTGTAATGTTTAAAAATGAAATGTTTTCTCAAAATCAAAAAACAAAATGCATTCTTGGAATTAACATACTAAATGTAATCTTAAAATTAAAAAATGAAATAATTTCTTAAAATAAAAGCCAAAATCAGTATTCAAAATAGAAAAATAAAATGTATTCTAAAAATCTTGGAATATAAAAAAGTTTTAATGTAAGTGACCAGTTAAATAATAGCAATAACAATTTTGTAGCACAGACTACTTCAAACCGGTTATCTAAAAGTGCCTTTTTCGTAGTGCTTTTATTCGTCTCCCAACCTGCCGAAGTAAATAATCACACATGTAGCAGAGATAAGTGGCGGTTAGAGTCCGTTTTGAAAATCAACGTTTAATCGCGATTAATATCCGCGATAGTCGTTGCAGCGTTGTTACAAGAATACCGTGTAACCTGTAGTGTAACATGTTGCGCAAAAAACCGAGATACGCATCGATCTTATGCGAGAAATTAATGCTGACCAGACTGGACTTGCTCAACGTTAAACTTTCTCTACCTGGTCACGGATGACTGAGAGGAATCCGTATTTCACATTTTTCTTCTCACTTTCGTGAAAAGTACTTTTGTTTTATTGTATTTACTTTCAGAACAAGCTCCTTTATGGACAAAGAAATATAATATGGAAGAGATTTATAATTACAGTAAATTATAAATTACATGTCTCATATCGTCACATCTCATGTTTCAAATTAATTTATGTCACAAATTAAAGTTTAATATTAAACTTACTAATGCATACTAATTACAAGAGCATACACGAAGTTAAATTATAGGTAAGCAAACGATGAAACATAAATTGTAATGCACATGTAACTTTTTTATCCCGATGGAACTTTTGGTGGAAGATTTGAAAACAATCTTCGCAAATGTTATGGCGTAAAATAAGAATCTTATGAAACAATCATTTTGACTATTTTGGTAACTGTGTATAAAACATATAAAACTATACTATACATATACTATGTATAAAATATACTAGATATATTACTAATGTTTTACTAGATATATTACTAATACAATTTTATGGTATGTCACTTCATTTTTGAAAAAATTGAGTTTGAACAGTTACGAAATATTTATAAAACTTTGGTATCTCATATTTCTACTCATATGTGATATTCACATCTCCTCTACTCATTGCAGTGTCGTTTTAAGAGTGTAGTCAGAGGAATTTGTACTTACATACTTTCTTTAACCTCATGAAGGATATTTACACGTGAACGTTTACTTTATTCTTAAACTCATTGATCAAAGATCATATGTGTATAAGTTTATTCTGTTTTTATATTCATTTACTAATGCTCACACATATGGATGTTCACTTTGTTTTTAAATTAATTAATTAATTAAGTAAGTCATATATGTAGACATTTATTTTGTTTTCAAAATGGTCAACCAAAAGTCATATATGTGAATGTTTCAAATTCATTCAGTAGAGGTCACATACGTGGATATTACCAAAATTTCTGCGTCCCTAAATTTCTATATCTTTAAATTCTTACATCCCCAAATGTCCCTAAATGCCAAATAAGCATTTATTCTTAGTACAACTTCCCTAAATAATTATGGCTTTAAATTTTTATATTTCCATTATTCAAAAGCACATATACTTTCAGTAAATGATTTTTGAACATAAATTTATATGAATTTTTTTCATACTTTTGACCTATAGCAACAATTTTTTGTCATCTATTTGATCACAAGTATACACGATATAAGTCTGGTCCAAAACCTTTTTAGTTACCCTGTATAATTACATAGTAATTAAAGTTTCATAATATGCCGTTATTTTTTTTTCAAATAGAATTACTTCACATCACTTTTTCTCTAGCTCTCACAATTTCGAAGATACTTAAACAGGTGAAAGTATCACCCTATATATAACTGTGTTGCACGCAGAACCATCGTTTTAAGTCAATGACTCACGAAATGTTTCCACATCGAATTCCACATTTCGATCCACATGTGAATGAAAGTTCACCCGAATACGCATTAAGCAGTGGGAACAATATTTTAGCAATTGACTATTGTGTAATTCGTGAGTCATGCAAGAATTCGTGCACGCTTAATTAATAACTGAACGTACGCGCCGCACAAGATGAATTATGGTAGAAATACGAGTATTATTTATTATATAACGTAAAAATTCTTCTTTTAACAATTCAATTGCAGATATATATATGTCTCATCTATCTTTGATATTTATCGAAACAAGTATGTACATCTATGTGAACACCTTATGTAATTAGAACATGATACATTTTCTGAAGATATGAGATGATTAACAAAACTTATATAGGTCATGAATTTATTAAGACTAGATTTATGAAACACGCCAAAATGACGGATCATAGATCTCTTATTTTAACCAGTTAACTGTGGCGATCTTTTTGCAAAGCGCGCATCGGTGTGTGTCGCGATAATCAAGCGATGAGGAGTTAGCTCTCAAGAATTTATGAATCCATCTCAAATCATGTACACTTTTTATTTGTTTATTTCATTTCGTGTTCGGCTCTAAACATTTTAAATTAAAAATGATGAAAGTCAGTAATAAAATCGGACAATTTCATCATTAACGCTAGAAAAAGGAAAGTATTGTATCCCCCAGAAAAAACGAAAGTACGAAAACTGTTAAGTGAATTTTTACGAAATTTTAGTTAGGTTATCTAATGGCAGATTTCGAAACATAGAAAGTTTGACATGATTGGATAACATAAGAGAGTTAATACTACACTAACTTGTAGTTTCAAGTTTCATGAAAATCGTCGTATTAGCTCCTGTATTAATACCCCTACTACCAAATAGTTGAACGTCAGAGTGCAAACAATGACTCAAAGCGAAATTCCTGTATCGATCCTTCATGAATTTCAATCATAACATTCCGTAGCGAAGATTACTAGCAATTTATCCCTTTATTTATCGAATTTTTCATGTTTGTCGAAAGAATGTATTGAAGAGTTTAATGCTGTAAGAGAAATTGGAAAGAGCGATGAAATTATTTACTTGTTCATAAAAAATTAACTAGGTTCTTCTGACATTTTTTGTTGATTCTATCCCTTATATTTTCTATGTAACGAAGTTGCTACAAGTTTTTCATTAAATGAAATAGAAAGTCAATTTTCTGTTTAACAAATATTATTAAATATTTTTTGAATGAAACAAATACATGTTGTAAGTTAAATTAAACAGAAAATTAATTTTTTATTCGGCAATATGAATATTATTAAATATTTTTTGTGTGACAAAATTAGAAGTTGTAGGTTGAATTAAGTAGACATTTAATAAAAATAAATGTTATTAAATAAATGTAATAATGAAGCAAATATTAAACAGAAAACGATAATCAGTTTTAGTAAAAATCACTAACATAGTGATAATTATATTTAACATTTATGACTACAAAAATTATATTTTTAACACTGTTTAATTTTGATCGAAAATATAATCACTAACATGATGAAACTAGATTAATATCCACATTCAATTTTCCCATCCCCCTTTTATATTTTTGCAATATAGAAACTAGATTAATTTTCTCATCCCCTTTTTATATTTTTGTAAT